ATCAGAAAACACAACATTCAACAAAATATGACAACATTTAAGACAACACAGTGACATTTCACAAAACATGACATTTTACAAATCACGACATTCACAAACTACTACAAAATTTAACCAAACACAACAACATTTAACAAAACAACATTTCACAAAACACTGTCACAAAACAGCATTTCACAAAACATGACATTTCACTAAACAGCTACATTTCACAAAACACTAACATTTAACAAAACACATTTCAGAATTCAGAACATGAAAAAAACAACATTTCACAAAACGCAATGATATTTCACAAAACATGACATTCTACAAATCGTGACATTTACAAAACGCAATATTTCACAAAACACTTCAACATTTAAGAAAACACATTTCACAAAACACAACATTTCACACATTACATTATTTAAGAAAACCCAACATTTCACAAAACATGACATTTCACAAAAAAACAACATTTAACGAAACAACAGTTAAACAAAACAACATTTCACAAAACACTTCAACATTTAACAAAACATGACATTTCACAGATCATGACATTTACAAAACTATAACATTTAACAAAACACAGCAACGTTTCACAAAACATGACATTTCACAAAATAAAACAATGTTGCAGTGTTTTGTGAAATGTCTTTTTGCATAATGTCAGTGTGTTGTGAAATGTCATTGTGTTTTGAACCTTAGGGCCACCGTAGAGATAAACCTTGTAAACCCATGCTGTTTATATTCTGAATGAATACTTAGTTAAATGTAGTTAAATTATATCTTTATTTTTTCAGCATATTTTTGTCAGAGGTTAGTTTTTTATTTTCATGTTGCATTTCTAACTCTGACATCTTTTCTTATCTACAGAGACGACACAAGGTCAGGAGCATCTGGGTTTCCTACCCGTGCAACCCCCTTCTCATTGGTGAGCCATGTATTCTAATGTATGAAGTAGCTATTTAAATATGTGTATTCATGTATTAGTATATATATGCTTTCACATTCAAAGTGTTCAGCAGAGGCCTTTTTATTGTATTTTAAAAAACAGTTAACATGTAAACAGGAAACAATGAGAGAGACACGAAACAAATGACCATGACAGATATTGAACATTGCGCTCACAGTGCACAGTATGTTGTGCTTCTAAACCACTGGTCCACCACAATGCCTCTCGGGTGATGTAAAGTGGAGTGTTATGTAACGAACTGAGCAACAAGAGCGAGCCTTTTGTACATTCTGTGGCCGTTAATTTAAATAACAGATAGGCAGTTGGAGGAAGAATGCAGACCCCTTGCTGATGTAAAACTATTAACACCATACTGTGCAAATACTGTTCTGCTCTTAAAGTATCAAAAGTAAAAGTATTCAATGCAGACAAATGTCTCCTGTGACTGTTACACAGAATTATATCAATACATTGTTATTCATGCTTTCATGTAAAAGCATGGTTTTACTGTTGCCGTTGGTCGAGGAGAAACTTAATTATTTTGCATAGAGCTGCAATCATATAAATAAAACGGGCATGTCAATTTACTTTTATGGCTGTAACTAATTATTTCCGTTTAAGTTGTAAACATGAAACGTTTTTTGCATTTTTGCATGACAAACAACTCAAACAATTAACGGAATAGTTGCCGTAAATTTTCTGAATGAATTAATCAGCTAATAATTGAATTATTTCTGCTCTGAGTGTATATATTGTTAAGTACAATGATTTAGTTTATAATAAAACATCACATTTTATGAGTTCCTCGTATGTTTTTATGCAAAAATCTCAAATTATAAAGTAACTAAAGCTGTCAATTAAATGTAGAGCTGTAAGCAATATTAGTATAGTACTTAAGGAAATGTACTTAGTTACATTCCACCACTGCAGATTTGTAATCAAGTTCAAGTTTATGGTCATGTACTTTAAAAAGCACACTGTACATTCAAATACAATGAAATGCATCTGCCCTGGCTCTCCTAGCATCAAAACTATATATAAATAAGATTAAAAAAAACAACAGGGTGAAACATTAGGTGAGGAGCAGTGTCAGTTGTACATGTTCAGGGACAGTGTGTCAATTTATGCTTATTACGTGCATTGTTCTTTTCAAAATAAATGTAACTCCACGTCACGTCACATACGCTTACAGCATAGTATGCCACACATACTGGCACACATGACTATGTTGTTATTTTGATAACCGTCTATAACTAATGGTTTATTTTGCCCGATTGTGAGGTATCATTAATCCCAAGTCTCAGCTAAGCGGGGCAACTGCATGAATCCCTGCTTATTTTTTTTGGCATGCTGAGTTTGGGCTGATGCTCGGCCAGGTCCTTTTTGACAGGGCCAAATGATGGCAGTGTCAACAGCCGGAATTGGGCAAGTTTAGTTTGCCTGATTCTGAGGGATCATTCAATCCTAGTCTCAGCTGAGTAGGGCAACTGGATGTGGCCCAACTTATTTCTCCTGGTGTCCCAAGTTTGGGCCAATGCTGGGCCAGGTTATTTTGGCTACTTGGGCTGATTTAAGACAGACATAAAAAAAAAAAAACCTCCCATAAAATGTCCAACCTTAAATGGTCATTAAAGTCCACTGTAAGAAAATATACAGAATTTTGAAGATTTAACTTTGTCTGACTTTTAAAACATGGCGCAATGAGATTTTAATGTTTCCACAGAACCAAGATGACCCAGATGAGTCCTACACGAGCCTTCAGCAGCCAGCAGGTGACCTCTACCAAACTGTCTTCTCAGTGCACCAACAACATGACAAGTGGGATGAGCAGGAAATAGATGAAAGAGAAACTGATCAAAACATCTATCAAAACGTTTGACCAAAAACCAAGATAGCATGGATGTTTAACTGAATGTATAATATGTTGACATTTTTGAGAGTATTATCCTACAATTACATCCTTGTTTTAAACAAACCAAAAACTCATTCCTGAAATGTGTTGATTGGAAGGACCATAGTTTGACTTTTGTTATTAAAGACACAGACGAATGATGAGTTAACTTGTATGTAAATGCTGCATCACATCGTGTTTTACATTGCAATCCTCTGTGCCCTGAAATCTTTAAAAAAAAAAAGACCTCCGGCACGGAAAGCGCAATGGAACAGTCATTCATGTCAGAATTCCAAGTCAGAGACTCGACAAAGATCACAGCAGCATCATGGCAGTGGACACAATCAACCGAGCAGTGAGACATTTTTTACATTATTTTTATGTCGTAGTGTTATTCTTCACAGACAGAGCCGTGGACACTGACAGTCCTGTATTACTATGTTCTTCATTTTCTGTAACCAGTGTAGCATGCTAGCATGGAGGAATTAGCAAGCTAGCTAGCTAACTAGCCATCCATCCATCTGTGTCGGGGGTAATGAGGAAATACAGTGATTGCCGGACAGAGCAGTGAGTGACAACAACCCCACCCACATTTAGGAGTGCTGTTTGTGGTGGAAACGCTCTACGGTCTAGGTACCATTTCTGGAGGGTTACTTTTGGTTCCAAAGTACCATACTGAAAGTGTTTGGTGGAAACGGGGCTGAAGTGTACTGTTCTTCATTTTAACATACATGTACATTAATTTGTGTCCTCGTTTCAAATTAAAGGCCTTTTAGATTCTCATACATGGTCCAGCCATTTACTAGATTTTGACCTAGTCTTGTTTATTCTAATAATTATCCATACGTGTATCAATGTTATGACTTGGTGGAATTTAAAAATAAAACTGCTCATTGGGGAGTTATTTTTGTTCTGTTGGCTACACAGTTAAAATATTGTATTGTAAATGTATTACTCATTCTTCTAGTTTTGGCTGATCAATGGTCTGGCTCTCTAACTGAGGGTTCACGAATCTTTACTTTCAATAATGTAGCTGCAAACATACCATGAACGCACCATAAGAGCTAGAGTGAAACCAAACCAAAAGAAACTACTACAGTTCTTCATCAGTATAACAAACTTTAGGTACACTGGGCTAACAGCAGTGTAGCATTTTGCTAGCACACACATGCTCACGTAAACTCTGAGAAAACTATAAATAGAATCATAAAGCAACACAATATCAAACACAATATGAAATAAAATGTGCTAAACCTTTACTCTTGTGAAGATACATTTACGCTGTACACAACATTTGTTCGGTTTCTCTCCTATTACCAGCAGCAAGCCCTTTCATAATAAAAGCACCCGCCCTTACAATCTAACTTCCACAATAAAAGCAAATTATATGACTATACTTGAGCATGGTCAAGGTCATTTACAATAGCTGTTAGCAGTTAGTGGCTAACTCGATGAAGAAGCGCAGTGGTTGAAAATATCTGCATGGTCCAGGAGCTCCTTACCGTCCGAGCAGAGGATGAGATCAGCTGCCATAAAACAGGGACAGTAAATGATCGTTATTGCCTTTTCTGCCATTGTTATTGTTTATGAGGTACTGCTGTTGCCTATGTGTTATGTCACACTAGAGGCTGACACTGTTGTGTTATATGTCACGCTTCTTTTGATTCCGCGATGCTGGGATGCAGTCTGTAATCTCACAGTGGAGTGGGATGATGCCGCCATCATTTGGTTCTGTGTCAAAATGCAAAGGAGGCATAAAGAGGGGACTTCTTGAGGCCCTACAATGCCATCTCTGTGGGTTAGAGTTATGGTGGAATACCATGTGGTATGCTATGATATGTGATACTTGCTGAATGCTCAAACTGGCCTATGTTTCTGAACACTTTTCACCAACACAATCTTACACAGAGGAAATAGGTGGCTTTTAGAGCTGCTTCAGAATTTGCTAAGAAAAGAAACAATAACTGTCACAACTAATCATCAGAAACCTCAGCAAAGGTAAAGTGACTCTCTATGTGCTTCATAATGCCATGGTTGGTGTGATACAAACAGTATAGCGTCATAACTTCCAAGTAAAAGCAGTCCTGTCTTGCACTTCCTTTTTGGGACACCACACCATCAGCTCATGCGCTTTTAGGCTATTTTAAGTATAATAGTCTGTTTGCCTTCCTCCCTTCAGTATAGTTTACCAGCAGCGACACTGTCACCCAGCCCTTTTTACCATTATGGATCAATTCTGCTTTGTTCTGCTTTTTCCGCTGTGTTTGTGTCTTGGCCCTGGAGGTACTGTATCTTTTTATTACATAAAGTTTATGCATGTTTACAGTTTGTTAGAATAATGAGTAGTCTGTAATAATATTCCTAACTTTTAATTTTTTTGCAGTGACTCATGTAAAAACCATAAGGAGAGGACCAGACGTCACTCCAATATGCTCAACGCTGAGTCCCATCATATTTATTATTTGTAGCATCAGAACAGGGGAGAAACAGTGTCGCCTGACATATAATGATCAAAGAGGCTTTGTGAACGACTGTGACTCCAGGCTCACACTTACGACAAAGAATCAGACTGTGTTTCTCCACCTGACCAGTTTAACACCAGTGGATAGTGGGAACTACAGCTGTGAGTGTGTACACTATGGTGGGGTATCTAATCTCCATCTCAGTATCACTGTGGAAGGTAAATGTTTTATTTATTTTCTTGCTTTTGTGACTCACACTTTTCGTATTTCTCTCCTACTTTTGCTGTGAATATTTTAACATTATTATTAACATGAAATTAGACTGGTTTCAAGGTAAAGAAAAGCATAGGATAGTAATGTTTTCAAGTATTTTGGGATATTTTAAGTCTGTTTAGCTGACGTAAAATACAGGGCTTATTATCCAGGTGAGACAGTGTGGTGCAAGTATAAAATAAAGGTCATATGGAAAATATGTTTTGTAATGTAATATGACATTATACTGCAAACCAAAACGAATATAATCATAATATTTCTTCACAAATAGAATCAAAACCTGTGCCATTTTTCTGACAAAGGTTTCTTTCTTTACAATATTTCAGACGACACCAGCAGTTCAACACGCATGTTGATCTTAAGTGTTCTTATCGGCGTAACTACAGTCATCACTATAACTGGAGTTATCTTCGGGTTTATATGCAGAAGAATACGTCATGGGTGTGAAAATACTGTAATATTTAGATGATTTCTGGTGTGTTTGTATGTGTATGTGTGTGTGTCTGACTCAAATAATTCTTCTTATTTAAAGACGCTGTTCAAGATCAGCCATATCTGGAGTATCTGTAGGTGACATTCCTATCTCTTTTGTGAGTAATGTATTCTTATATTCTATAGTGTAAAAGTTCAGAGCATTAATATAGCACCAAACAACTGTCCCGAGCAGATAATGGAGTCACGCCCGCTTATTGAAATGGAATCTGAGCTTCTCTGTGGTTTGTTGTTGTCTGGCTACGCATGCATGTTAGCACATGTGCATATCCTACTGGCTAGCTCATCGCCGCCACTTTGCGCTGTGCACATACAGCAGTTACCACTGATATCAGGACAACATTGTCGCTTAACCGTAGGGCCCACCCTCCAGTCCCCCCCAGTTAACAACATTAGCTCTTTCAGAGCAGTCGCTGTTGTTGGCGCTGTTTATGGAGCTAGCACTGTTAGCTGCCAGCACAAGTGGGACCAAGTCATGACTGACAAGACCTGAGTCAAGTCCCAAGGCCCAAACTTTGAGTTTCGAGTCCTAAACAAGTCATAAGCCCCATTTCCACCAAAAACTTTAGGTATAGTACCTGTAGAGTCCCTTCAGACATGGTACCTAGACCCTAATTCCCTTTGAGTTGCAATGCAGGCTGTACTTTTAAATGTGGATGGGGGTGTTGTGACTCACTGCTTCAGCCAGCTTTCACTGTATTTCCTCCTCATTGGTGACACAGAGGAAGTCTGCAGCCGGTTTATCGTCCACAGGGGTTTGCACGCTGATATTTTTAGAACAAAATAAAACAGGCTGCAGTGAGAGTCTATCTTGTTGGGATATTTATAAGTAGCAAGTTTATGCATTTAGTCCTTCTCAGTGAAGCAGTGTTGAGTGTTACTAGAGCAGTATAGCTGCTGCAAGAGACAGCAAAACATCCTTTTATTTTATAGTTTCTAATATATGTAGACTTGCCACAGTATGAACAGTGGTTACATAAAGGATTCAAAACCAGCCACAGCTCAGCCCTGAGCAGAGTGACTGTCTGCTACTGACCAATCAACAGACTGCAGTGTTCACAGCTCCACCTTTTAGTACCAGATCTGTGTGCTAGGTACCCAAACAGAGGGGGGACCAAAAATGGGGACAGTTCTCTTGGTACCACCCACAACTTCTCACAGTGGAAACAGAAAAAACGTGTAATGAACTAAAATGAACTGCTTCTTCACCAAATGTAATGCCATTTTAACAACATAAGTATAATAATTTTACAAAAAAAAATAACATGAGTGCTTTTAAAAAAAATCTACTTATGTCAAAACAAGGTTTTTAGAATTTGTTAGGTCTTTTTTGCCCCACATGTTTTGCATATTGTAATCCTAGGTTTAATTAGTTTGTTTGTCTTTTGACCATTCCATTCTTTTGTACATAAAAAATTCTTTGGTATATTTTTTTCCACTTGGCGCTCGGTAACCTAACGTTAGGTTTTCATAGTTCTTTCCTGCAACTCAATCAAATGCTTTTGAATTTGGTACAAACTAAGTCGATAATTTAGGGAATTTAGTGTCGACTTGCTGCAAATGGGTTAGGCCCAATCCCAATACCCCCCCTTGTCCACTACCCCTCAGCCCTTGGCCCTACCCCTAGCCCTTGCCCACTACCCCTAGCCCCCACGAGGGGTAGCGGTTGAAATCTTTCCCTAGGAATTGGGACACCACTCACTACGTCACTGCATCGGTTACATTCACGCATACGTAACTATTTTAAACAGGAAGCCGTGAGCCATCTACATTTCCAACCGGCATCTACAATGGAGTCTCCAGTTGAGTGCATCCTACCGATAGCATTTGTTGTATTCATCATGCTTTGTTTGATGAACGACAGACAACAAAATGTATGTACGACAGGGGACTTGGGACGGGCCCTTAACATCAGCTGATTGAGGAAATTCAGATTCAGATTTTTTTTATTGTCATTGTACAGACATACAATGGAATTCAGGTGCACTCAATGACCGGGCTCATATATAAACATAAGTAAGAAATTGTAAGAAAAATAAATAAAAATGCCCCCATCCCACTCACGTTCTACACAATTGTAGATACCATACACTCATTGCCAAAGTATGCTGTTAAAATGGGATTTGAAAAAGTGCTCATGCATATTATAATGAATTATTCAGTGGAACACTTTTTAAATCACATAATTTTAATCTTTGGGCTTGGGGGAAGGTATCAAGTACTTTCAAGTCAAAAGGCTTAAATCCGAATGAAGACATGAGTCACTGCTGTTGAAGTCCAAGTCGAGTTGCAAGTCTTTTTTTTATTTTTTTCAAGTCTAAAGTCATCAAATTTGTGACTCAAGTCCAAGTCATGTGCCTCGAGTCCACACCTCTGGCTGCTAGCTGCTGGCTCAGCCACCTCCATGTTGAGATCCGTGACCAGACAACTCATACGCTCTGAACATTGCATAGAGCCCCTTTAATAGTTCTACATGCTTTAAGTATTTTTCACATCTAAGAATGTCTATAAATGTTTATATTTGATATTTCAGTTATATATTTGAGTATCAGTGAGGAAACATTTAAAGGGTTTCAGTAAATGTAGTGACTCAGGAGAGACATAATTCAACCTTTAGACTTTAAAAACACAATGCACCCACATTTGTATTTTTCATAGGATGGAGATGACCCTGATGACCCCTACACAAGCCTCCAGCAACCAATGAGTGATGTTTACCACACTATCTCAAATGCTATCTGCCTGGATAACCAGGAAGTAGATGGAAGAGAGACTGATCCAAGTTGTGAAATCTATGAAAACATTTAACCAAACATCCAGAGAGCATGACTGTATAATGTGTATGTTGACATATTTGACTTGTTGAGACAAAGTTATCCTACAGTTCAACGATATCTCTTGTTTTATTCATGTAGATGTTAAAAAAGTGATGAACATATGATGGATTTTTGGTAAAGACGCCAAAAATCAGGACTTAACTTGAGAGTAAAGTTCCTTGTTCCTCTAGTAACAGGCTGAAAAGCTGTGTTTTGCCGCCCTCTGTTTGAATGTTTCAAACCTGATTTTCTGGGTGTGTTGATTTATTTAAAACTGACCCTGTGTTTTGGGGCACTGTGTAACTGTTCTTTAACACACTTAACATGTTTTAAGGTATCACCAAAGTTAAGGCCTTTCTCATAGGCACAATAATGTAAAAATAACACCCTTAAAACTTTACAAGTGAAGGAGTTTGTGCCTTTTAGCTGCAATTTACAGCGTTGATTATTTCTGATTAAATATTAGAATCACAAGATAAAATTCAGTCATTGCAACTGTATAGCTGCTAACTGAGGATTAAATATCCTGAAAGTTTGTGATGCTTAGAGTCACATGAAGGAGGTTACAGTTGTTTCTTCACTTGAACAGAGATGTGTGTTGTCACTTACGATGGTGTCGAGTCCTAACAGTGCTGTATGACGATGACACACTGGTTTCCTTGTGAAAGAGGCAAAGACGTGGATTGCAACGTGCTGCTGAGACCCCACAGCTTTCTATTCACAGCTCAAGCTCTAAATATGTGATGACCACAGAAGCATCTTGTATGACATATAACTCACTATCAGTACAGATTGTACCAGCACAGGCAATACTTCATGTTTGGGTTGGACTCATGGTGGATCCAGTTCAAACTGTGGACAATGAGATATCTTATTGTAAACACATATATCACTGCATTGAGAAGTGTTTTTGAAGGTGAAAGTGTCTGAATATGAAAGCAGAAGTTCCTGCAGCAGCACTTCCTTTCTAGGACAGTCCACACCAGCTCATACCTCTGAGAGAGTGTGAGGTTTAGGTAGCCTGACAGTAGTGTATCAAGGTGTGTCTGTCCTCCTTCAGTCAGTACAGAAAAGAGTTCACTGCCAGCAACTATTGCTTCTTGACCAGCATGGCAAAATGGAAACTGTGCTTTGTTCTGCTCCTGTCACTGATAGTGTGTTTTGACAGTGAAGGTAATGTACAGAAGTTGTTTTCTTTATATTTCTGTCTTTGGTTCAAAGAGGACAACTAAACATTTTCTGTAATTTTCTACTAGAATTAAAAATGTGGTTTCATATTCACAGAATACAAAAATACAGCAGCAGCTAATCAGACTGTATTATTTTCAGTGACTCTTGTGAAAATCATCAGCAGAGAACCAGATGTGACTCCAATATGCACCAATGCAACACTTAGTCCCATCATACTTATAGTGTGTAAGATCAGTACAGTGATGAGCAGTGGAGAAGAGTGTGTCCTGTCTTATCAATATGCCGAAGGCTTTGAGCACGGATGTGACTCCAGGTTCACACTTGTGACAAAGAATCAGACTGTGTTTCTCCATCTGATCAATCTAACACCAGTGGATAGTGGGGACTACAGCTGTGAGTGTATACAGTACAGGCCAAAAGTTTGGACACACCTTCTCATTCAATGCGTTTTCTTTATTTTCATGACTATTTACATTGTAGATTCTCACTGAAGGCATCAAAACTATGAATGAACACATGTGGAGTTATGTACTTAACAAAAAAAAGGTGAAAAAACTGAAAACATGTTTTATATTCTAGTTTCTTTAAAATAGCCACCCTTTGCTCTGATTACTGCTTTGCACACTCTTGGCATTCTCTCGATGAGCTTCAAGAGGTAGTCACCTGAAATGGTTTCCACTTCACAGGTGTGCCTTATCAGGGTTAATTAGTGGAATTTCTTGCTTTATCAATGGGGTTGGGACCATCAGTTGTGTTGTGCAGAAGTCAGGTTAATACACAGCCGACAGCCCTATTGGACAACTGTTAAAATTCATATTATGGCAAGAACCAATCAGCTAACTAAAGAAAAACGAGTGGCCATCATTACTTTAAGAAATGAAGGTCAGTCAGTCCAGAAAATTGCAAAAACTTTAAATGTGTCCCCAAGTGGAGTCGCAAAAACCATCAAGCGCTACAACAAAACTGGCACACATGAGGACCGACCCAGGAAAGGAAGACCAAGAGTCACCTCTGCTTCTGAGGATAAGTTCATCCGAGTCACCAGCCTCAGAAATCGCAAGTTAACAGCAGCTCAGATCAGAGACCAGATGAATGCCACACAGAGTTCTAGCAGCAGACCCATCTCTAGAACAACTGTTAAGAGGAGACTGCGCCAATCAGGCCTTCATGGTCAAATAGCTGCTAGGAAACCACTGCTAAGGAGAGGCAACAAGCAGAAGAGATTTGTTTGGGCCAAGAAACACAAGGAATGGACATTAGACCAGTGGAAATCTGTGCTTTGGTCTGATGAGTCCAAATTTGAGATCTTTGGTTCCAATTGCTGTGTCTTTGTGAGACGCAGAAAAGGTGAACGGATGGATTCCACATGCCTGGTTCCCACTGTGAAGCATGGAGGAGGAGGTGTGATGGTGTGGGGGTGTTTTGCTGGTGACACTGTTGGGGATTTATTCAAAATTGAAGGCACACTGAACCAGCATGGCTACCACAGCATCCTGCAACGACATGCCATCCCATCCGGTTTGCGTTTAGTTGGACGATCATTTATTTTTCAACAGGACAATGACCCCAAACACACCTCCAGGCTGTGTAAGGGCTATTTGACCAAGAAGGAGAGTGATGGAGTGCTGCGGCAGATGACCTGGCCTCCACAGTCACCGGACCTGAACCCAATCGAGATGGTTTGGGGTGAGCTGGACCGCAGAGTGAAGGCAAAGGGGCCAACAAGTGCTAAACACCTCTGGGAACTCCTTCAAGACTGTTGGAAAACCATTTCAGGTGACTACCTCTTGAAGCTCATGGAGAGAATGCCAAGAGTGTGCAAAGCAGTAATCAGAGCAAAGGGTGGCTATTTTGAAGAAACTAGAATATAAAACATGTTTTCAGTTATTTCACCTTTTTTTGTTAAGTACATAACTCCACATGTGTTCATTCATAGTTTTGATGCCTTCAGTGAGAATCTACAATGTAAATAGTCATGAAAATAAAGAAAACGCATTGAATGAGAAGGTGTGTCCAAACTTTTGGCCTGTACTGTACATCATGGTGGAATACATATTGTCCATCTGAATATCACTGTGGAAGGTAAATAAATATTTTTTGCTTTTAGGATTCAAACTAAATGCATTTCTCTCCTACTTTAGCTGTGAATATTTCAACATTATTATCATTAACATGAAATTAGTCCTCTTTCAATGTCAAGAAGAGCATAGGATAGTAATGTCTTTAAGTATTTTGGGATATTTTAAGTCTGTTGGGTGTCCATCTTGATATTCATAGCTGCTGTCTATAGATGTAAAATGCAGAGTTATAATCCAGGTGAAACATTGTCGTGCAAAGATAAAATATGAAAATGTAATTAAATACATATCACATTATATTGTGACCAGAAGGAATACAATCATTATGTTTCTTTACAAACAGGACCAATACCTGCACCATTTTTCTTACAAAGATTTCTGTCTTTACAATGTTCAGAGGACGAAGACACCAGCAGTTATACACGCATACTGATCCCAAATGTTCTGATTGGTCTAACTGCAGTTCTCATTATAACTGGAGTTATCTTTGGGTCTATCTGCAGAGGAATATGTCATGGGTGAGAGAAGACTGTTCAGTTCAGATGATATCTATTGTGTGTGCACGTGTATTTTGTGTTTCACTAGATCTGATAACTCTTTTTATTTAAAGATGCTGTTCAAGATCAGCCACATCTGGATTACCTGAAACTCCCGGCTCTTTGGTGAGTAATGTATTTTGATATTCTGTACCTTTAAACTCAGGAATAGAATTATACATACATACATAGCTTTTCCATTGTTCAACATAATGTAGTTTAAAACCATGATGCATTGTGATTTATATTTTTGTTTTTGTAAAGGATGGAGATGACCCCTACACAAGCCTCCAGCAGCCAGCGAGTGATCTCTACCAAACTATCTCAGATTCAGCAAACAGCACTGCCTGCCTGCATAACTACGAAATAGATGGAGGAGAGACTGATTCAAGTTGTGACATCTATGAAAACATTTCAAGTAACGAATCAACATAACATAATCAACAGCATCAGGACTGTGACTTGTGTTTGCACTTGCTAGGAACTTATATGCTGTGTCATTACCAAAATCTTTCTTCAAAATACGAGCTCAGTATTACATGTGTTATCTATCACATGGGGCAGGTATTTTCCAATAATCTCAACACCTCCAAATCTTTGAAGTTGTTGTTGGGTGTGGCTACTTTGTTCAGAAGTATACTCTGTATAAAAGTGCTGCAGTGGCTGGTAACACAGGAAATACAATAAAGTATGTAAAATATAACCCTCTCCTGTAGGACTGTTTAAACACACACACACCTTGTTTTGACTTGAGGCCTTTCTGATGGTCACGATAATATCAAAATGGCACCTTTAAAACTACGGACAGAATCACTGTGGCGCTGCACTATTAGATTTATAGTTAAACATGGTGGTCCAACCTATCTGATGTTTCTGCTGAGAATGACTCACCTTTGGTTAGGTGTGTTTCCTGGAGCTTCGCATTGCTGTGCTGTCGGTCGTAGTAGCCGATGTGTTTCAGACTGGAGGTTTGAAGACATGTTTTTTGCAGTGGAAAGAGTTTTAGTCGGACTACCTGCAGTAACAGTGTTCTTGTCATCTTTCCTCCTGACAAAATCAAAGTGATGGGAATATTTCCAGCCACTAAGGTTGCTGCTTTGTGACGTGCCTGCGCAGCGCAACTACAAAAATGAGTCTGCAGATATGATTGTTGTATTTCAAGTCAGTAGTGGGGTGATAACAAAAGTAATGTTGTGATGTGTTGTTCGGTTTTTCAGGTAACTGTAATTATTTGTTACTGGAAAAAGCACTATCAATGCTGAAGAGCACATAGACGTTTTAGAGCAACATACGCTCCCATCCAGACAACATATCTTTCAAGGAAGGCCTTGCATATTTCAGCAAGACAATGCTAAACCACATCATAACAGTATGGCTGCGCAATAGAAGGGTCTGGGTGCTGAACTGGCCCGTCTGCAGTCCAGACCTTTCACCAATAGAAAACATTTGGCACATCATAAAATGAAATATCTGGCAAAGAAGACCCAGGATCGTTGAGCAGCTAGAATCCTACATCAGACAAGAATGGGACAACATTCCTCACCCCAAACTCCAGCAACTGGTCTCCTCACTTCCCAGACATTTACAGACTGCTCTACCTGGAAGTTACTGTCACAAACATTGTGATTTGGTCTATAGATCATTTAATTGCTTTTTTTCTTGCTCAGACAACAGCACTGGTTCCTGTTTACTTCCTGTCAGCTACCACAGACTATAAACGATATATCATTTCCTTGCATTACGCAGTCACACAGGAAATACACTTGAACCAATTTAGAAAATTTGTGTCGTCAAGTTTGAAACGGTTGAAACAAAGAGAAGTGATTAATTAGGATAATTTCAAAATAAAATTCAGCCATTGCAACTGTGAGCTGCAATTGAAGATTCAAGACCACAGTTAGTTTCTTCACTTGAACTGGGTTGACTGTCTGGCATAAGGTGAGATATGTTTTTGTCACTTATACCACTGCTGTATGACTAACTGGTTTCCTTTTTAAAGCGCAGAGGAACATGAATTGCAGCGAGCTGTTGAGACCCTGCAGCTTTCTATTCACAGCTCAAGCTCAGCCTTTTACATATGTGATGACCACAGAGGCACACATGTCAGTTTCAGCATCTTGTATGATGTACGACTCTCAATAACCAGACAAAGTCTAAGACCAGTGCAGGCAATACTTCATGTTAGGGTTGGACTCTAGGTTGATCCAGTTCAAACTGTGGCTGTACACCTGATGTTTGATGATATGACATCTTCTTGTGGACACATTAAACATCGACATGAGAAGTTTTTGAAGGTAAAGTGTCTGAATATGAAAGCAGAAGTTCCTGCAGCAGCACTTCCTTTCTAGGACAGTCCACACCAGCTCGTACCTCTGAGAGAGTGTGAGGTTTAGGTAGCCTGACAGCAGTGGATAGAGGTGTGTCTGTCCTCCTTCAGTCAGTACAGGAAAGCATTTACTGCCGGCAGCTGTTGCTTCTTCACCAGCATGGTAAAATGGAAACTCTGCTTTGTTCTGCTCCTGCCACTGATGGTGTGTTTTGACAGTGAAGGTAATGTACACATAATGGAAAATTTATGCAAGTTAATTTTCTCTATTCTTCCTGTCTTCGGTTTAAAGAGGATGACTGAACCTTTTCTGAATTTTTCAGTGAATTAAAAATGTGATGTAATGTTTACAAATTGCTGAAATACAGCAGCAGCTAATCAGACTGTATTATTTTCAGTGACTCTTGTGAAAACCATCAGCAGAGAACCAGATGTGACTCCAATATGCACCAATGCAACACTTAGTCCCATCATACTTATAGTGTGTAAGATCAGTACAGTGATGAGCAGTGGAGAAGAGTGTGTCCTGTCTTATCGATATGCCGAAGGCTTTGAGCACGGATGTGACTCCAGGTTCACACTTGTGACAAAGAATCAGACTGTGTTTCTCCAGCTCACTGGTTTAACACCAGTGGATAGTGGGAACTACAGCTGTGAGTGTACACATCATGGTGGAATAAATATTGTCCATCTGAATATCACTGTGGAAGGTAAACACAATTTCTTTATTGTTCCTCATGGCTGAATTTAAGCTGGTTATTTTTCACCCTGCTCAACCCAGAAAAAAAATGTTGGCATTGTACGTTTCTGCAAACCACAGATGAGTTACACACCAGTATGTACATTACTATGTTGTGCATTCGTTTGATTTTTTTTCTTTATGTTTCAACAATGCTGTGGTTTGATTTCGAATCAAAAATGACTTGATCATGTTTGGGCATTAAAAAAATCAAGGCTGGAGATGTCTCTGTTTTAAAAACTTTTCATTGCACTATCCTGGTAGGAAATGCACATATGTCTTGGTTAAAAAACTATGGCTTTTTGTAGCACTATCCTAGCTGTAAATGCAGCGATGTCTTGGTAAAATCAAGTGCTTTTTGTGGCATTGTTCAGGCTGGAAATGCAGCGATGTCTTGGTAAAAAACAGTAGATTTTGTGGCATGATACGAGCAGGAAATGCAGCGGTTTTGCCAAAAACAGCCACTTTTTGTGGCACTGTTCCAGCAGTAAATGCAGCAATGTCTTGGTAAAAACAACCTCTTTTTGTGGCAGTATCCCAGCAGTAAAGGAAGTGATGTCTTGGTAAAAACAACTGCTTTTTGTGGCACTATTCTGGCTGGAAATGCAGCGATGTCTTGGTAAAAAACAGTATATTTTGTGGCATGATACGAGCAGGAAATGCAACAGTAAATGCAGCGATGTCTTGGTAAAAACAACCACTTTTTGTGGCACTGTTCCAGCAGTAAATGCAGCAGTGTCTTGGTAAACACAATCGTTCTTTGTGGCACTATTCGGGCTGGAAATGCAGCAATGTCTTGTTAAAAAACAGTCAGTTTTGTGGTATGATATGAGCAGGAAATGCAGCAGTAAATGCAGCAATGTCTTCATAAAAACAACCGTTCTTTGTGGCACTATTCTGGCAGGAAATGTACAGATGACTTGGTAAAAAAAACAACCACTTTTTGTGGCAGTATCCCAGCAGGAAATGCAGTGATGTCTTGGTAAAAACAGCCGTTCTTTGTGGCACTAAACTAGCAGGAATTACACAGATGCCTTGGTAAAAAAACAGTCACTTTTTGTGGCATCTGAGCAGGAAATGCAGCGGGAAACACAGCAATGTCTCAGTAAAAAAAACCAATTGCTTTTTGTGGCACTATCCTGGCAGTAAATGCAGCAGCGTCAAAACATTTGGTGGCTAAAAAGAGCGGCTGGAAGCACAGTGAAGACTTGCTAAAAAAACTTTCAGTCTGTTTGTTGGTCTGAAACGGTGGTCTGCAGCTCTGCAGGCGTCTCAGGCGTCATGCTATCTACTATCTCCTCCACCTACCGATGACAAAGTCAGCTCATGTATAAAACGTGCATGTAACATATCCGTGGTTTGCAGAGACGTACATTTTCTTCTGGTGGGCTGCCCTGCTACTACTGTATTATGTTAAGATGGTAGTGCAATGCCTGTATTTATATATAGTTTAAAGGTTAATCAAGGCATAGAGTAAATGGGCCTTAAAGTTTATTTACTAATAGAGCAAATGTCTGTGTCATTTGTTTGTGATGTTTTAGAGGATGAAGACTCCAGCATCTTTCCAAAAAAGCAGGTTATAGAAGCCTTGACTGGTGCTGCTATAATCATTCTTCTAACTGCAGTTATCTTTGGGTTGCTCTACAGAGGAATACGTCAGGGGTGAGAGACTACTGCAATCACGTATATGAAGATCTTGACATTCCGTTTCATATGAACTAATGAAGGACGACATCGCCTTTCATTTCCTGTTCTATCTATAAAAATAGAGAATACACTTTAAGATTCATTTTTAATGTATTGTTGTTTGACCCAACAGAAGCCAGCCAGAGCCACCAAGCAGTCATCACAACATGGTAATGTACAGAAAAATATATTTTGTTTATGCCGCTCATTTGACTTTAATCATCGTTTGAAATGCATGTTTTTCAGCAGGAGCCAGAAGACATTGAGCCGTACAGCACCTTCGTACAGCGAGAGGGTGGACTTTATTCAGTGGTCGGACTGCATGTGTGTGACACTGACACTATTAATTCAAACATGGTTACCACACAGGACACACATGCAGGGAATTTTTTACAGAGCTCCAATCATACCGTCTATGCCAAGTGAAATGGAACCTGTTGTCCACAAGATGGCAGTGTTTTGCTTTCTGTTGACATGTATTTCACTTCATCGTATTTCTTGTATGTGAGTTGAATGTCTAAATTTGAGCGTGTTAAAGCACACATTATATTATACTGTAATACTGATCACAATAAACAAATTACAAATAAAATTTTTAAATAATAATGCTTTATGTCTTCAATTGTGGCCCGAATGTCTGAGTTGGTCTCAACAATAGTACACAGCCAAATTAACGGCCCAGTCAACAGAAAAACATGTTGGCATCAAACGTTTCTGTAAACCACAAAAACATTACATTTGCACATTTCATACATAAGACACTGTTTGACCAACAAATAACAAAAAAATGGTTGTGATTTACCGCTTAAGCCAAGATATGATCTTCTCCTAACCATAACCAAGTGTTTGTTTTTCCTGAACCTAACCACACATTAACCACAGTGTTGCTGAAATGTTAAGTTTCAACATATCAGCTGCATAATCACATGCAAATATAGTATACACATGATTTGCAGAAATGTACAATGCAGACATTTTCTCTGGTGATTGGGTCGCAATTCGACTCGGTTTAATAATGATAATAGAAAAAGACAGAATTGACTGAAGAACAAACAGAAGAGCCAAATGGGACAGTGATAGAGTGCAATGTGTCTGTATTTCCTTTGTTCCAAAGAATAAGGAGGATCTTCTTCAATTTCACTTTAGAGACACTTGAATTCTTTGCTTCTATTGTTTTTCTTTTTGGTGTTCCCCTGGTAGCATTCCTTCTTATTGACAGAGGAAGTACGCCAGGGTCACAAGCAACTGGTTAACATTTTCTGGTTACTGTTGTCACAAATCAGAGTTTGAGCCAGGCTGATTGCAGTACAATACAACAGATTCTCTCAGCACTGTTAGGGGAGATTTAAGGGAAATGAAACAGCTCTCCTGACTGCAACAGCACATTCAGCATCTATGATTGACATATTGAGTCTGATAAGCAAAAGAAGGCAGAGCAATAATGCCCTGTAGCTTAAATTAAGTGCATTCAACATTTTCCAAAACACATAGCTTGATTACGCCAGCAAGGATTCAATCAGCAAAGTGACATTCACTTTCCAAATGACTGTGCATGACTAATAAATAAACTGATGGAGGTGGGAAACATCCGCTTTTGTAGCTTACACTCAGTATCATTATCACACAGCAAGATTTTTGATGTACAATTTCAAGGTATTTGTACATGACTTTCCCCACTTTATAATTTTGTTGTACTACATTTCAGACAGAAATATTGTACTGTGTTTTTTACTCAACTACACTTTTCTGACAGATTTTACACATACCAAACTACCCAACAGTATTTAAAATAGTTAAAATTAGCACCACCGTGAACAGCTACATCATTAAAATGGTGCCTCAATGGTATTTTTTAAAATAACCGCATAATATGATGTATGATACTGCAATATGTGGGGTAATCTAATTAATATTTGTACTTTTTATTCTTTATTGTACATTTTTGCTGCTATTACTTCTAAAGTATGCAAAAATGTGTGTTCTACTGCTGCTTTTACTCTATGAATACTCTTTGCTACTGCTTCTCTGAAGGGATGTCCTACATTTAAAGGACCACAAAACATTTACAGCCTTATCTTATGGTGTTTGTCTGTATGTTATTGCAAAAAAACCAGAAGTCTCTATTAACAATATGCTTGCTAAGTTGAGGTAGCTAAGGGTGAGGTAGTTTGTGGCTAGGTGGTTGAGCAGGATGTAGTAACATGCTAATTATTTGACTATGTCATCAGCTGACTGGAGTTTTACATTAGTTATGTGGCAACCTCACGTGCTTATCTTAGGGGTGTTCCCCAGGGTTCAGTCCTTGGTCCAATTGTGTTTGCTCTGTTCCTGTTTCCTCTTGAGTAGATGAGACATTTTACTGTCACAGCTACGCCCGATGATATCCAACTATACTTTTCGTTTTAACCTCAAAATCTAGCACAGTTGTTGTTAATTGCCTCAATACTTTTAAAAGACCTGGAACCCCTTCAAAGGCCACTCAAGGCCCACCTGTTGCCTTTGCATGATTTCTGTTTTATGCTGTTTGAATCTTTATAAGTTATGTTGGTTGCCTTATTTCTTTTTATGAAGCCCTTTGTGATGTTGTGCTCTAGAGCGTGGCCCCGGGGCACATTTTCCTGACCGAATGCGACCCAAGTACGACAGTTATAACCGAGCCCGGCGCGAACCCGACAGACTTTCTGATTTTTAAGTCCGAACCCAACCAGAGCCTGACGCAGTTACCTGACATAGTTATTGTTATGTAGAGTGTGTAAATGACTATCAAAAGGCTGCTGTTACGCACAGTCAAACACGTTGCACGCACAGCAGCGCAGCAAAGCACACGCACTCAATTGGAGCAGACTCAATAGACACACGCTGTGGCCTAACCTTTTACCCAATGTCACACACTACACTCACTCAGTACACAAATATAATTGAATTAGTCTTACCACTTTCCTGATGGCAAGTTTTGTCTAGCGTCCTCCATTTGCATTAGTTCAGTCTGAATATTTACCGCCTCCTGCCTGAAATGTAACTATTGGCCTGTGTTGCATTCAGGCGTTGTCACATAAATAACAAATTTTAGCACTTGATTAGGCCACAGCACAACACAGCAGCATGTCAAGTGGGCTGAACCAGAGCAAAATTTCTGATTTGTTATTTGGGACACGCCGTCGAGGGGTCCCGTTGGGCTCGGGTTGGGTATCCACACTCTGTTGTGCTATATGAATAAAGTTACCTAGTGTGGTAGCTAGCATGGTGTTAGTTGTTGATGTTAGCCAGTGATGCTGTAGACCAGGGGTCAGCAACCTTTACTATCAAAGGAGCCATTTTTGGCTAAAAAGATGTTAAAAAAATCTGCCTGGAGCCACAATACGTATTTGTGCCTTATAGTTACGGCAACACAGCCTATTTAATCTATATGTGGCTGAAGTAGTCGAACTCGTTATTAGTCTCCGCTCAGTCTAAAATGTCACACAACTAGTCATGTTGGCATGTGGAGAAGCAGATCCATCTCATTCCCTGATCCATTAATTTTTGTTTACAACTGTCTCAACGTCTCTCGGCCACCTCTTAAAGATTTTTGTTCAAGCCTGATTTTTCTGCATTTTTCTTGATTTTTCTTGATGAAACTATTCTGTTAAACCTATTCCTAATAGGTCTAAATGAGCATCCATTACTGTATTCCACAACAAAGTAGCTACTCTGCAGTGGACTGTTAATGAATATTTGGAACTTAAACTTTGCAGCGTTAGTGATGAAAGCTAACAAATCTGTCCACTTGCTATGAAATTCTCTATTTTCCTCTGAAATGTTTTCTTTTTTGGATTTGGAATTAATACCTGGCCTCATTTTGGAGACTCAAGCTTAACCATTGCTATTGAGATACAGCAAATTTTAGGAGAAGGCGCCAGGCCGTAGACGTATGAGGCACATAGCTGACGAGATGTTAAAACGTTTAGTTTATCCGGTATCGAGGATTCACATTTATACAGCCGGAAAATGTAAGAATCACTTTAGTGCTACGACAATGATAAATGAAATTAAAATGTTAAAAAATAACTATTATTCAATTCCATTTCTTTTTTGTCAAAGCCTCAGACTCACGCAAGACTTATTGGAATCCTATTTTCTTTGGCAAGACGAGTCAAGGACATAACTCGTTTAAAATTTGTCATACCACAGGGTTGCTAACTTGAAGAACCAGATGAACAATCATGTAGGGCCAGCCAGTGTGGGTTAGCCTTAGCAGATAGGAGGTAGATTTAAGGCCAGGTCAGGCTGCTCTTTGCTAGGGTGAGAGGAGGATTCAAAGGCAGTTCAGAAGTACCTTAACAACATATTATCTTCATTTACCATGAATACTGGGCTTGCCATAGAAATGCTCACCCAACTTTTGCACATTTCATTGTGTTAAATACTTGATAGAATGTCCCAAAATTCTTTCTTACATACAAAACCGCACTCTGAAATTAATCTTACATTTATTTACTACTGATCAGCAGGCTGTGAGTATCTGCAGCTGCTGCACGTAGATAAGTTTCAAATAAAGAGAAGTGGAACCAAAATAATAACAGAAGCTTTCTGGTTAAATCTAGATCACAAGGCAGGCGCTTTAATATTGTCACGTTACTGTTGGTTGGTGAACCACAAGCCGCAAGCTGTGCTTTCCTGGTATAGAATTACAGGTGTCAGCATGTCAGGTAGCACAGGTAATTTCCAGATGTAGTTCATAGTTGGGTTTGGGTTTTTTGAGTTTCCAAAATAAAACCGGCTGCTAGAGAGGAGCCCTAAATATCCAGGACACCTTGTAACTGCTGCATCATACTGCGTATTACCGGATGAAGTCCATCTGTAACCCACCTTTATGTATAATCAACCCTTGAGCTTTGCTGCTATGGAGATTTGTAGTCTTAATGGCTTTTAATGGTTTTATAGCCTCAGTAAATGTCATATTGAAAATGAATGATTGATGATTGAGGCCAGTTCAATATTGAAAGAGGAAAGTACTGTATATCAATCACTGTAAGGCATTTTGTCCATCGTCTTGTAAACATGATGTTTCCCAGGCTGTGACATGAAGTAAACCCTTCAAAGAGCAGTTAGGTTCTTTCCAGGACCATACTTAAGAGGAATTATCCTTCCGTGACTTCCCCTGAATGTTATTTTGTAAACAAGATTACACAAGAGATATAAACCTCATGTGCTGTTGTAACCTGTGCAGCAAACCTTCAGAGGCACAGGGTAGAATTATAGTATGGGGAATAGTGGGACTAATGGGACCCTTCAAAAAGTGTAGAGTGAGAAGTCCGGTTTTGTTTGTAGTTTTTTAATTTCCAAATAATAAATACCAAAAGTTAATTAGGATTGGTTGAGACTGAACTTTGTATAAAAAATAGTTGAAGCTCTCTGAGGCCCCTCTGACCCCTTAAAGGTGCAAAATGGTTTAGTCCACCCCTGTACCCCTCTCTAAACACAAGCAGAGCTGAGTCAAGCTCGTTATGTTGCTGGACCACCAACATACACCATCATGTCTATCACCAAGGGAAATCCAGGTTCCAAAAAAGACGAGAAAGAAACAAAAGCGGAAAAAATAAAAACTGACTTTGTAAAAACAAAAACAAAAATCAAAAGGTGCGTGAGAGAGACAAGGGCAGGGGGCCCTCAGAGACTGCTTGTGCATTGGGCCCAGAATGTGGTGCTACGCCCCTGTAGAGGCATGAAGGGGCTTTGCATGTAACATCCTGGGTTCACACCCTCTGTTTGCATGTGATCCCACTCTACCACCTCTTTCCTGTTGCACTGAGCTGTGTTGTATATCCTGCTTCAAACCAAAGTTTCGAGTGAGAATACAGGATTGCACCAACAATAGGCCCTTGACAGATTTCCTGAAGATTCCAGTTTTATGATTACAAAAAATTCCTTGTGTACTGGATATGACTAGAAAGCATTGCATAGGAGTGGCATACTGTCATAGCATTATGAGGAATCCTGGATATGACATCATACAATTTAAGGGAATGAGATTTTGTCATTTGAAAAAAAATTGAAGTGAAACATGGTTTACCAAAAACTGAATCCCCCCTGTACAATAGGATTGTTATACTTCCAAGTGGCCTAACCCACAGCCATGATGAAGCATCCTCAGACAGCAGTTGTGCCCCCAAGGGTGAGGCCAGACACCCTGATACAATTGCTGGCCCCTCCACTGGAGCCCTCTGGCGAAAATTATTGTAGGCCGATACTACTGTCTTTAAGAGGCTGTGGTGCTTTTTTAGCCTGGCGCAAGGTTTGTGTTGTCTTGTGAAATTAGATAACGTAAGGCATCCCAACTCATCCAGCAGCCGCTTTGTTAGTGGACCTACAGGTCAAAATATGACACCCCAGGCAATTAACACTCACTACATGCATTGTGTCTTTTCAAAATACCCTTCTGTTTGCACAGGAAATGTACAGTTTCCACTTGTATATACATACAGTCTCTTTTCAAAATAACTTAAATTGTAGGTACAACTTCATTTTTGGTTTAGGCAACAAAAGTAGAAAAAAACCCCATCATGGTTTGGCTTACAGTAAGTACGGTTGTCAGTAACATGATGTAGCATCACCTAACGTCACTTGCATATTAAACATACCAGCACACTACGTTGTTGATAAAATAACTCAACTGACTTTTGGTTTCACATGGGGAAAAAGTTATAGTTGTGTAAGATACTGCCTCTGCCCAGTACATATCATACTGCCACAAAGGGTTCCTCTTTGCGTGGGAGGCTCTTTCCGGCTCAGCTCCCTCTTCACCACGATGGTCCGGCGCCGCGCCTGCATCACTGAAGACGCCGCACCAAACCGCCGATCCATCTCGCAAAAGTCAGGTTTTTTGTGACCCATCCACCACCCCTACTTGCCTCCTACAAAGCATTTGCAACTGCTTCTTTGTTTACTGCTGTCAGCGCATTGGTCACATGATCACAGCCTTTTAAAGTCTGTGAGATATGTACATATTTGGGTGCAACAACAGCCTGCGGTGTGCGACTCCTTACCGCTCCATATTGATGACATAAGCTATAAGAGCATGATCAAATCCCTAAAATTCAGTCATGGTTTTTTTTTGTAGTGTGCCACCCCAAGATTTTCAGCGGCCTGGCCTCATCTTGTTTGTTTCCTGTTTGCAGTAATCCCACACCACACATGTTTCCCACTGTGGAACATTTGCAATTATTGGCCGGAAACTACCCTCAAACTAATGTGGTAAAACTGAGGATGGGCAATTAACAGTGGTAATGGTAATATGAGCCATAATAGGATATTAAGACTTTCAAGACCTGACATGAATTTGAATGAATGATACAGTATGTGCTCTGCCTTTGACATTTGTTTAGACCAAATATTTATCATCTTGTATCACAGAAGTACAATATTTACCGTCTTCTCGAGGGGTGGACTTTCCCGTATCGCTTTAAGTCAGTTGGAGCAACAAATGTCAAGCATCACATGTGTGTTATCACACTTACCATGATGAGAATCTGAATAAGATCACGTAGCAAACCTCAAAACACCAGAAGCCACAGTGTGCGCAGTATGGGGACTTCTGCTTCTGTTTCTGGAATTTCTTGACCAACTAAAATTACTGGAGGTGTTGTAAATACAGAAGAGTCGTACAGTAAGCGCGCAGTTTACTGGACTTCAAGGTAATAATTAGAAATAAGTGTGAGTTTCAAAAAGGAAGAAAAAGTAGTCAGACTTACTCATTCAATGCGACCTCAGCTTTTACTACAGTAGTATTGTAAAGTGACCTTGGATTTCTTGAAAGGCGCTATATAAATTAAAGTTATTATTATTATTATTATTATTAGTCAAACTGACTAATAAAATATTCGCTCTCTCATGAATTATCAGCATGTTTTACCCTGAAAGTCCAGCATTATAAATATAGTCTGTTTTCATATTGTGTAAATATCTATTCATCCAATGCCTCACACGTAAAGACTTCTCTTTGTTGATACATTTCCTTTAAAGCATTAATTAATTCCATAAATCCCCAGATGATATAATCAATGTGTTGCTGACAGGCTCTCTAGAAAAACCCTACCCTCTCTCTCTCCTCCCTCTCTCTGCAACCTATCAGTTTCATTATCATTGAAGCATTGAGCCCGCCCTTTAAAAGCAAGTCAGAGGCTTAAACTGAAAGTGTTGTCTGTACAGCTGTAGAAGAAGATGATGTGGATCCTGGTACTCACCGGTCTGCTGTATAAAGGTAAGTGACACTTACAGGTGAGGGCGAGCCATTGTCACTGTTGTAGGTTTTTTTTTATATTACAGAATAGACTCCAGCCTTGTAGTCAGATTATCATGTTGCCTAAATTAAATCTATTTGTAATATCATTATTATTATCATTGTGTTAAGAAAGGATGTGACATTCAGAGCATTGATTGACATTCTCACTGCAACCTTGTCATATATTGATGTTTGGTCATGGGCTTTTCATGTTCACATACGACCTGCAAGGTACCCTGTGTGCGTTGCTTGGTGACGTTCTGGGGCGCTGTATCAAGTTCTGCTTGTTACATGCATTGTCTTCTTTCAAAATACACTTCTGTATTCACAGGAAATTTAACGTTTACATCCAGTCTCTTTCAAAAGAAACACGGCAAATTTCCAATTTTTGACGTTAAAGGAGACCTTTTTCGTATGTATCTGACACCGCAAGTCACTGCCCAAGTACTGGATTTCGACGACTTTGGAGTGAGAGACAGCCAAGCACAGAGCTGTTGCGGCTGACCCTTGATCGGGGACCTCCATGTTGAGAGCCGAGTGCAGACAATCCTGACTCAGACTCTGAATTCAAGTTATGCTCTGAATGTCACATGCAGCTCCTTTAAATTAAATTATTAATTATATTCAAAGGGCTTGGATAGACATTTCATTAAACTAATCTACTGAAGCATAACAAAAGGTTGTTTTACTTTTCGGCATGCATTCACTGAAATTCAGCTGTTTTTATTTTCAGCCTGCATGTCACAGATCAGTAATTATGGAAATACAACAGCTGACTATGGCGGGGAAGCGCACTACAGGTGCACAGCAGCCAACACAGCAGGTGCGGAAGTTTTCTTTGGTCTCTTTAAATGCCAGTTTTTATTGTTAAGATGTGACCAGTGGTGGTGGAAGTAAACAAAACAAGTAAAAGTAGCAAAAATACTCCATCACAACTTAAGTCTGCATTGAAATGTAGCTTAATTAAAGTATATAATCAGAAAAAAGGTATTACAAATAAAAGTGCTCTGCAAAAATACAGCCCCTGTTATACAATCATATATTATTTCATTAGATTATTATTACTGATGTATTGATGTAAAAGAAGGGATTTTGATGTGGTAGTTGGTTGAGATGGAGTGGGTTTGTACCCATTTTGTTAATCAGACTACAACTAATAATATTTTTTATGATGGATTAATCTGTTGAATATGTTCCCCATTCAACTGGTTAAGTTTGTTTAAATTACATTAAAAAAAAAAAAGTGAGAAATGCCATGACAATGTTACCCAGAGCCTATAGTGACACCTTGACCTCAAAATTATTTAAAAATAAATCCAAATGATTAAAATATTTGAAAGTAAAAGCAGCAGATCCTTACATTTTAAAAGATGGAACCACAAAATGTATTTGTATGAAAAATGACATCGGTGATTATCAAAATAGTTGCCAATTAATTTTCTGCCAACTGACGAATCAATCATTGCAGCTATACTTCATTAGTGTTGTTTGGTAACTAACCATATAATAAAATATTCAAGTAAAATACAAGTACCTCAGACTTGTACTTGAGTAAATGTGTTGACTGGATGATTACCATTTCCAACAGGTGTCCTCCAGGTCACGTGGCAGAGGCTTTTCAAGGACGACTCCATTGAGAATTTGGCGACCTACAGCAGGCGGTTTGGACAGCAAGTAAATCAGCCTTACAGGGGCAAAGTGATCTTCACAGAGGCGTCTCTCCAGTCAACATCCATTATCCTGAAGAATGTAACATGGGGGGATGAAAGCTGTTATATTTGCTCATTCAATGTGTATCCTGATGGGTCCAAACGAAAACAGACTTGCCTCACGGTGCAAGGTAAATTGCAGCAAATTTGCATCGAGTAGGAATTCTAGAAATAGACAGATTTCAAAGAATATACATTAAACATTGTTTTTGCTGATTGAAACCCCCCAAATGACCAGTTTCAATTCTCTATGAAGGCATATCCGAGGTGAAAACAGCTGTGCATGCCTCCAGTGAGCCTGAGGAAGAAGACACAGAGGTCGTGTTCAGCTGCTCTGCTACAGGTAAACCAGCTCCGACCATTCGGTGGGAATTCTCACCTCCTGCCACCGAATCAGAACCAATGCAGCCTACAACAGTAACAAACAGTGACCACACCTTTACCAGCAGCAGCAACCTGACTCTGCAAGTACCTCCAGAGTGGAAGGGACAGGTGGACTGCGTGCTGAACAATGGACAAAGGCGGGTGATGATCCCGTTCTCTTTACCTCCGAGGAAGACGGAAGCCGGAGGTATGCGTGTCAATTGTTTTGTATAGACAAAAAAAATGTGTAATTGTGTACACTCTTAGAAATAAGGGTTCCAAAAGCGTTCCTCCTGAAGGGCCAAGGGTCTACCCAGAACCATTTGCTTCTCAAGAACCTTTTTTTTTTTTTTTTTTTAATCAAAAAAAAAAAAAAGTGTTAAAAGATCCCCACCCTAAAATATTTAAATGTTTACGCATGTCTTAAATGGTATTTTTAGATGAAGATGTATCTGGAATCCCTTTAATCCATTAATTTTACTGCCGTTCTGCTATAGTTAATATCTTCAGAATCATTTCATGCCATGCGGTTTTTACGGTACCTGGCATTTCGTATTCGCTTCTAATTTGAACTGAGTTTTGGCTCCAAACCCTACTGCACCATTGAAATAGGAAAGAATGTAGTGGTGGTGGTCACACAAAATCTCCACCCCCTAAAAATGCGATGTTTCCTCATACAGCAGTTCATATGATATATTACGAATCAGCACCCTATGAATGACCATACGTATGAAATCTAAAGTTACTTAATAATGTTACGTATGTGGGATTTAGGCAAGTACAGTCACTTTGATTAGGTTAAGAAAAAGTAATATGTTGATGATGTACCTTCAAATAACTCAAAGTTCTAGGCTAGTGAAGGAGTGACTCGTCCTACTCTGCCTCTGATTGGCTTTCCTTGACATTCTTACCCTACCCTAACTGAGTCCTGTGTTTTGTGACCCATCCAAACCCCCAACCTGCCTTGTTACCTGGGTTACTTCCTTCTTTGTGCCCATCAGTGAATTGGTAATGTGATCGCAGCCTTCCCAAATTACTGGCTCATTATAACATGGGTTTGTTACGAATTTTGGTGCATTACTTTTCATAGGTATACATAGGAATAGTGCTTGAGAACAACCTGAAAAACGTGATTGTGAACCATTAGTATTGTGGCCCAAGGCTGCTGGAGGTGGTTCCTTTGGCCCCAGACTGACATGTTAATCTAAAACCATGTGTAGAGGGGGAGAGATCTATGGGTAATGTAGTCAATTACTGATACAAGAGCTCCCCTTGGTAGGTTTAAGATGAAAACTTTGTAATATGTACAATGCTTTCCGTTGATGACACATCCTTGATTAAAATAAGTCCACTCAAAACTGGTGGAAACATGGGCTGGTTCGCTTGATTGCTCCAAGAATCCTTAACAGTACCGGTTCAAGAACCAGAGCTAATTTGGTGGAAATGGTGTATTGGGGGGTTCTGGGTGGAACCTTTCACACATTATTCTAGGTATAATCCTTTATGTTGCATTCTATGAAGGACCCTCTGAAAAGGTTTGAGGCGCTGCCTTGTAAAAAGGTTCATCAAGGAACCAAAAAGGGGTTCTCCCATGGGGACAAGCCAAAGAGCTCTAAATGGTTCTAGTAAGCACCTTTATTTGTAAGAGTGTAGCTGTAGTGTGTTTGCTTTTTGAAGTTACCAGCCTATAATGTCAGATGAACTTCCTAGACATTCCCAACAATGTGTTTGCAGTTATTATGCTGACTGACTGGAAGGGAAGTCACACTGCACCACACCTTTCCCACAGTGTTGACCAGGAACAAACAAGTTTCAACATTTTATTTTTGGTGTGCCAGTTAGCCCACTAATTAACCATTAGTAATCGTATTATGATTACCTTTATGGTCAATCTCAAGAGAAGTATGTCTGAGAAGTGATATCATTACTATGAGTAGCCTGGTTGTGTAACTTTTCAGTAACACTTCCGCTGAACCAGGAACTCAATTCTCTAATGTCTGGTCTGGGAAATGCTCAGTGAATGCACTTCAGTGATCTGAGTCTGACTAAGTACAAACAGTAAACAGACTTTTGCTCTCTGCGTGCGTCAGCAGTGCAGTGACTCATTAAAATCAGATTTGGTTTCACTTTCACTTACAGCTGCATTTCATGCACAAAAGTAGCCCATGTCACAGTAAAATGAGTCGGGTCTTTTGCTCTCTGGGGAGGTCATCTGACAGATCAGGGAAATGAATTATTAGCATGTAAAAGTAAGAATGTCACCTTGAAAATTTCCCCTACCTCTTCTGGGGAATTCTTCTTGTATGACTAACCCCGAGGTGTGTGTCTCCAGGGAAAACACTGTCGTCATCAGGGATTGCACTCGTGATCGCTGCAGTGATGTTTATTTGCTTCATCATTGCTGCTGCGGCAATGAAGCGAAAAAGGTAAGATATTTGACACAAAGACATTTGTAAATGTACCTGTAGCATAATTCTCCCCATGGGTAAAATATAATTAACTTTCCTCTCTTCCTGGCAGGTTAAAGGGTACCAGAAGAAGTGACGTTTAACATGCTTCTGGACTTTGACACAGCTAACATTCAAGCATGCAAGCATTATAAAAATCTGCTTTTTTGGCATCAAAAGTTTAGAGGTACAACAGTGAGTTAAGCTAAAAGCTGGTGTCCAAGATTCCACCGGTAGCTTTCAAAATAACCATTTCTTTTTCATTTCAATGCTCAGCACTTGAACTTTTTGGAGCTAAAAGCAAAGCGTATTTTGGGCTTTGTAGAACGTGACAATGCAACAACAGTGACCAATTTTTGATTCTGACATATGGACACAAATACATGGTTTACAAAGAGTCTATATTTGAGTTGATTTAATCACATGTAGAGCTCTGAAGCAGGTAACTCTAACTCAGAGTCACAGTGACTGCTGTTGATTCAAGATAATCTAACAGGCAGATGACCAGAATACAAGCTGATGTGTTTTGATGACAAGGAAATGTTGTATGGGGCTAGAACGCCATCTAGTGTGCTTTGTCAGGAACTAGAGAAAGGAGGAGGAAGATGAGCCCAAGTCTAACCAAGGAATACAATAGATTGAAATTGTTTGCACAACAAATTTGAACTATTTATTAAGTGATCTATGAAGTTGACATGCGAAGCAATCAGTGATCAGTGATGACTTTAATCCAGATCAGCATATTTAGGCTGTATCAAACTATATGTATATTTATCTATAAACTTTAAATTATACGAGACATATTACAAAATAGATATGATATATAAGTGTGTTAGTAATGTTGCACTTTTCTTGCAGTTTTGCACTTTAGTGTTCAATGTTTATTTGTTGCTTTGTCTGGAGACATTGTATGACTGTAACTGTGGTATAGTGCCGACTGTATTATGTGAAAACTCATCTGTCAAACACTGTATTATTAACCTGTGCTGTGCATTATGTTTTAATTTATTCTCTTTACTTAAATGTATTTATTTTTGCTCGGTTAATTAAACTGTGATGTTTACTTGTTATGAGCGGTTTCACTTGTGAATAATGTTTTTCATGTCCTGGATTATATCTAGAGGAAGTAACACTCCTGACATCAAGGGCCTAGGTTTTGTTTCAATGTTGGGGCAAACATGTGAAGCAGGGTTTGGGGTCCTCCAGAGTAAAATTTTGGGGCATCAAACACTTGATTTTTTTATGCACCAGTCTATGGTGGAAATATCTTTATTTATTTCAGAATAAAAGTCTTTAATGTTTTTATTGGGGGGAGCAAATGTACATATTGAGGGGACGTGCACGCTGCCTCCTGACATGTACAATGGGATTACAACAGATATGAAGAAGTAGGAAAGCAGTTAATAACAGGACTAACTGAAGAAAAGCACAGTATAACATTAGGGAGTGTACTTAGAAAGACAACAAGGAATATTCATAAACCTCTATTTACTTATTTAATTAAGAGTAACAGGACTAACAGAGAGAATTTAGTCCTTTTTTGTTTCTGCCACACTCCGGTCCAGTAGGTGGCGGTAAAGCACATGAAAGCTGCCATTAAAACTTAAACAAAAGTAAGCAAGAAAGACTTTTGAACGTCAGCGGGAGCTACATTATGCCGAAATATGCCACAACATGCAGTTATATTTTTAATTTGTGCGTTGGGACTCATTCAGAAAGGTAAGTAGCAGAGAAAACTGTGTAAACCTGCTGCACATAGAGACAACTTCCGCATATATTGGCAGTAGATACAGTACAGTAAGAAGTAAAGATGTGACACCATGCAGTCATACATTTCCTGTGCTCGGTGTAAGTCTTTCAGAAAGACGAGGAAGTGATACATAAATCTGTCTTTCTCATATCTTATACAGTACAGGCCAGTATTTGATTTATTTCTCTTTACCGCAGCTGTGTAACTGCTGTGTTGTTCATTGTAGTTTCGGCGGTTCACACCATTGCAGTGTGCAAACACGTTTTACAGGGCAGGTGCTCATGTGGAGAACAGGGCACCCCTTCCGCATCTTTTTATTTTTAATTTGATGTTGTTTTATTTTCATATATTTGTGTATTTCTGCATATGTGCTGATGCAAAAAGTAAATAAATAAATGATTTTTTTTTAAATGTTCACAAGTGCGCCCTGCAGGGAGGTTTATACCTGCTCTTGACCTATACCCTCTTGACCTTGAGTCCTGTCAAGATGTAAGAAGTTTATTGTCATATGCACAGAAAAAAACTCAGTGGTTTACACCATACAATGGAATTCTAAATTGCCAATCTCCCTTCACACAAAAACAGTAATAAAATTTCAATCAAAGGTAGATTTTAAGAAGAAATAATAAGATTGAGCATTGCTGAGGATATTGGTTGGCATGCCAAATAGTTAGCAGACATTCATTGTATTTACCATGTATGTACACTGGGTGGCGCTGTATTGATATTTTTGATTAAAGATGAAGAAATGGACATTTATTCAACCTGTGTGTCAGACAGGTGAGGCCGGGTGAAACATCTCAAGTAGCTGCAAGTGGGCATAGGTCCTACACCAAATTTCCTCAGCTTCCTCTCCTTTTTATTTTCCTCTTCTCAATTTTTCCTCCTCCTCTTCTCATTGGCTTCTCCGCCTTCCTTTTTTAAATAGTCACGCATTTATTCTTATAATTCTCTTCTAAATAAGCTTTAGATATTCTCAGAGAATTCCAGTGAACAGATGCGTACAGCTGCGCGCTCTTCCTCTCCTCCTCTCCTCCTCTCCTCCTCTGCGCTCTTTACACACCGCAGCCTCAAACTGCAGGTCATTTTTTTGTTCAAAATAATAACCAGAGATGCAACGTGCGGGACATAATCTTTATTTAAAAATTATAATGATGATAATGATGATAAAAAAGTAGCCTTTGTTTCTGTTTATGCCCCTAACTCCTTTGATAGGAGCTTTTTTGATTATCTGACTAAACTTATGTTGAATTTATCTGATTTAGGTCTAATAATAGGAGGTGACTTTAATGCGGTTTGGTTACACTCATTAGATAGAACTGGTGTAGCTGAGGGGGCATACCAGCGTCTTGCTTCCTCTGCATTAAGGAAATGGGCTTCAGACTGTGCCGTAGTAGATGTCTGGCGGATAGCTAATCCCTCTCTAAGGGAGTTCTCTTGTTTCTCATCACGTCATAGAACTTTTTCCCGTATAGATTACATTTTCATTTCTAAACATTTATTTGAAAAAGCCTCTGATTTTGCTCTTCTTCCTATGTCTCTTTCTGACCATAGGGCTGTATTTGGCAAACTGGCAATCCCTTCGGGCCCCAAACGATCGGCCCATTGGTGGTTTAATTCCACTTTATTGCAGAATGAATCCTTTCTAAGGGAAATGAAAGAACAACTGGACCATTTTTTAGCGATAAATAGATCCTCTGTTGATGATCCCAGGGTACTCTGGTCAGCTGTAAAAGGGTTCATAAGGGACAAATCAATTGGATTTGCCTCTAATCTAAACAAAACAAGATGGCAGCATATTGTAGATTTAGAAAATAGAATCACAACTTTAGAGAGTTCTTTGTCTCTGAATGCTACCTCTGACCTTATTCTCGAGCGAGACCTGTTAATTAAAGACCTTAATCAACTACTCAGGAACAAATCTGATTTTCTCATTCATAGGACTAGGCAACTTGATTACTTGTACAGTGCCCAACCAAGTCATCTACTGGCTTTGAAACTCAAAACCAATGAACAATTGGCTAACATATCGTCTGTTAAATCTTCCACAGGTAAATTGTGCTTTGCTCCAACTGAGGTAAATGATAATTTTTTGCTCATTTTACTCTAATTTATACTCCTCAGAGTTTATTTATAATGAGCATGCATGCAAAAGCTTTTTGAATCCCCTTCAACTTCCAAAGCTTCCTTATGAATCTGCCCTTGAACTTGATACTCCAATAACCCTGAGTGAATTGCACAAAGCCCTAGCGAGCATGAGTAAGAATAAATCCCCAGGGCTTGATGGTATACCCCCAGAGTTTTATCTGGCCTTCTGGCCTCAAACTGGTCCTCTTTTACTGGAGATGATTCATTCTACAATTAATAATGGTTCTTTCTTTAAGAATACTAATATTGCTATTATTTCTTTACTTTTAAAAAAGGGCAAGGATCCTTCTGAGTGCTCAAGTTACCGTCCTATTTCAATTTTAAATGCTGATACTAAGTTATTTGCCAAAGTCTTAGCTTCCCGATTGGAACCACATCTGTCTACTCTAATTCATGCGGATCAGACTGGCTTCATTAAGAAGCGCCTTGCCTCAGATAATGTCCGTTGCCTTCTCCACATCATAGAAGCTTCCAACACCGCAGATTCTTCAAATGCCATTTTGTCGCTTGATGCAGAGAAGGCATTTGATCGCCTTGAGTGGCATTTTCTGTGGCAGGTTTTGCATCATATGGGCTTTGGACATAACTTTTTATCTATGATTCAAACCTTATATAATGACCCAACTGCAATGGTGTTGACAGGGAGCACCTGTTCTAGGCAATTTCTCATATCTAGAGGATCTCGAAAGGGTTGTCCCCTCTCGCCTTTGTTATTTGCTTCATCTCTTGAGCCTCTTGCCCAGGCAGTCCGGCAGTCAATCAGCCATAACCCTATTAGTATACATAATACCAAACACTTTATATCTTTGTATGCAGATGACATCCTTCTTTTCCTCCATAATGTTTCTCATAGTCTTCCTCACCTTTTAAACATCTTCAAGGACTTTGGCCAGGTTTCAGGATACAAAATCAATTGGGAAAAATCTGCACTATTACCTCTGAACTCTTCCACTGGACAGGTTCCTACCATCGCAGCCACACTAAACATACCAGTTGTCCAGACGTTTAAATATCTAGGAGTCTCAATTTTTCCTACAGTTTCAGCCACAGTGACTAACAATTATAAGAAAATGCTTGCTGAGATGGAAAATAGTCTGTGGAGGTCCTCATCTTTGTCTTTTCATTCCCGCATTTCAGTGATTAAAATGAATACTCTCTCCCGAATAAACTTTGTTAGTTCTATGCTTCCTCTGGCACCTCCCAAAGGTTATTGGAAGAAAATTCACTCACTACTCTCTAAATTTATTTGGGCTGGTAAAAGACCCAGAATTAAATTATCTGTCCTTCAAAGACCAAAAAAATTTGGCGGTTTAGGACTCCCAAACTTTCAATTGTATCATTGGCCCTTTGTATTGCGCCCTCTCTCCACCTGGTTTGACACAGCATCTTGTGTATCTTGGCATCCGATTGAGGAAAGTATTGTTCAGCCCCACCGATTACAAGATCTTATTTACTCCAACATCTCTATTAAACAATCTAAGCTGAAATTTGGGTCTATCATCACTGAGCTAATTTCCACCTGGAGCGCTGTTGAAAAATGTTGTAAAGTGTCTCCCAATTGGTATCTCCAGACACCCATATTCTTTAACTCTCGTCTCAAGTTGGGAGGGCGTCCTATATATTTTTCCAGTTGGGCAAATAATGGTGTATTTACATTATCTGATATTTTTGGGGCTGAAGGTCTCCGCTCATTCTCAGACATTCAGAAACTCTTTAACTTACCTGGTTCCTCCTTTTTCTTTTATCTTCAGTTGCGTACGGCAATGCACACTTATGGGGTGCCTTGGGATGGCACACTAGGTTTACACCCTTTTCATAAGGCTCTGACTGGGAGTAAGGGTTTGGTTTCTACTGTTTATACCATTCTGATGCAAGCATCAAACAAACCACTCTCTCTTGACAGTGTTTGGAAGCAGGACCTTCCATCTGATGACAATAATCTGGACTGGCACTTGATCTGGCAAAACTTGTCTTTTTCTTCCAGAAACCCCAACCACCCAATTATTCATTACAATTTTTTACACAGGTCATACTTCACTCCACGCAGTTTGTTCAAATTTAAAGCTTTGCCTTCTCCTAATTGCGCTCTGTGTTCGCAAAAGAGCTTAGGCACCTTCTTCCATAGGGTTTGGGAGTGCCCAGGTGTTGTGGTTTTCTGGAAGAGTGTTTGTAGTATGCTGTCCACAATATTGTCTAAGCAGATTCCTTATTCGCCTACCATCTTATTACTTAATGACACTTCTGGTTTGAACATACCTGCTAAACTTAAACACCTTTTTCTGGCTGGTCTCACTGCCGCTAAAAGGCTGATAGCATGTAGATGGAAACCCCCTCATTTGTTATCCTTAAATAAATGATTGTTAGAATTCATAGATATAGCCATTATGGAACGTTGGGCAGCTAACTTGCACCTAGCCAAACCTGGAAACATTTCATGTTGGGATGATGCCATCTCCACTCTAAAATCTTTATTGAAGCCATCTCCTTTTCCTACTTTGGGTCCTGTGGGTGGGTGGGTTGGATGTGGGATGGGGGGGTGGGGGGGTTGTGGCACTCCGAGTATATATTTTCTCATTTATTTCTCCCTTTTTTTTT